GCTTTAGTGATTAAAACACGCACACAGCAACACTCGCAGGCGCGCACTTTTATTTACTGTTAATTAATTCGTAATGTAGTCTTTGTTTTTGTTTTTGCTTGTTTTTTGCGCCGTTGCTCTGCCCTCCGCGCGTTTTATTCTAATTTTTTTGTGGCACGACTCGGCAAATGTACGTGTCACAGAAGCGCACCTGTCCCAAGTCCTGCGCTTTTTATTTTCCCCGAGACGTGGCAGGACCTCAAAGCGCCAGCTTCTAATTTGCTGCTAAATGGAAGCGAAAACGCTTTGTTTGTGCATAACGAGCCGTTCAGCGGGGCAAACAAAAGGGCGCCACGGGGGGATTCGCATGCGGATTCGCCTTTGTCCCACGTCCGCCAGGATGAAGACTGCACTTGCCCGCATCCAGCGAAGGACACCCGGCCACCCGGCCACCCGACCGCCCACTGAACGGGGTCAAAGGGCGGCCAGTGGGCGGCGGGAGGGGGTGGCAATCGAGTTGATTACCACGCGAACGCCGAACAAAAGACAATGGCCACAACGAAAAATGCGGGGCGCTGCCAAAGGTCCACGTGCCAATTGCTTCATTACTTGCACATTTTCAACTCAATAACAAGCGCCGCCCGCCGAGCGAAGTGAGCAAAAAATAAAGGAGGAGCGAATGCCGTTGCCTGCAACAATGGCGAAAAGCCCTGGAAAAGTGCTGTCGGAAAACTGGTGTAACTAAGCTGCAGAAATTTCACAGCCATAAAAGTGAAGGTTGCCAGGCAGCCGAACAACAGCGCTGCATCATTTTTGCACCGAAATGCTACTAAATCAGCCAGAAGCATATTGCCGCATAGCTCCAGATTCAGGCACCGGAAGTGAATTATCACTGCATTTCCTGCCATGCCAAAGTGCAAATTTGTGCCTTGTCTATCCGCGGCAACCTGCCTCCTGCGCACAGCAGTATCTAATACCAATGGGCAGCCATTGCGGTGGACTGGCAATTTCTTAATTACGTTTGTCAACATTCGAGGATTGCACAAGCGCAAACATTGCTGCATTCCGACTTGCAGTTTCCAGTTTCCAATTTCGAATTTCCAATTTCCAATTTCCAATTCCCGTTGCCATTGCGGATGGCCTGTGCTGCTAATCGGGTCAACCACTCGGCGGCCGTGGCAGCCAGAAATAATTAATTTATATAAGTCATTTGGCATTCGATCGGCCATGCCATTCAGTCCAAAAAGCTGGTTGGGCGAGGGATTTTCATGGCATATATGGGGCTGAGCTATTAATCTATGCATGTTTCTCAAAATATTTGACATTTTGATGTGCAAGTTTGGAATGAAGTCCTGGGCAGATTTGCAAGCCAACAGAAAGTCGCAAATTGGCCTAAACGAAGTGTCAACACACCTCAGCCAACTGACGCATTTAGCCATTTTGCCTTCCATCGGAAAGTTGGCCTTCTCCGCCTTGAAGCTCCGAAGCTTTGAGCCTGCCAAACACTTTTCAACTTTTCATTGGCCGGCTTGGGGTGCAGATAACGCAATTATGCCAAAGTTCCAACCACTCAAAAGGATCAGAGGAAAAGGCGCAGTTTTGGGGCGGGAGGCAGTACAGTCAGAACGTTGTTAATTGCATAAATTAAGCAACATTAACACGTCATCATGTGTGGCGCTTGTTTCTTTTCAGGCACATTTGCTGAGTATTCAAATTCAACGAGGCCGAATGCCCGAACATGGCCGCAGAAAAAACGCATACATTTTCCTGGCAATCGGGCTTAACCAGAATTCCCCACTTAAGCCTGCAGGTTCGGTGAAAATTTGTGGGTGGCATTTGTTCGCCCCTGTGCTCCAGTTGACCTGGTTCCCATTGTCCTTGCTCCCCATTGTCCTTGCTCGGCGGAGATGTATGCGTGTGTGTCCGCTATTTGATGGTCCATCTGTCTATCTGTCGTGCTGTTTGTATGTTTGCACATTTTTACATTTGCCATTTGCCTGTTTGTCTTTTCGTGCACTGGCCGCCAACTTGGTTAATGTCCTTTTGGCCTGTCGAGCAGTCCATTGGAGAACCCATTTCATTTCCCTACACTGCAAACTGTGCACCAGGTATAAGATTCGATTACAGCGCAGTTTGTTTGCCATAGAGCGCTCTTCCTTTCTCCACTCGCTCAATTGTCCTTCAATCAATGTCCTTCAACAAAAAAACCCACGAAACCTTCAGCTTAGACCGACTTGCAGGCTGGCCAACAGGAGCTCCCAATCAGCGGAGCCCTGGACTGCCAAGGACTCGATATGCAGTGGTTCTTTTAACTTCCGGTTCCGGTTTTTTGTTTCAGCGGGTGCGAGGTAATTGGCTGCGAAATGCTGCCATAAATCAAACCGATAATTATGTGGGCGACTGCGCAGCTTTTTCGCACCACACCAGTCCATCATCGAAATTGGGCGAAATGTAAAAAAGAAAAGCCAGCGAGCTGGAATGGCAAGTCGGACTCATTTTGATTGCCGACCATAAATTATGATTTGATGTGCGAAATAGTGGGCGCCTGTCGCTGATGGGTGGCCAAATGGCGGTAGGTAAATGCAGCTCAAGGTCGTATGAGCTACTTTTTCCCGCTTTTTCCGCCCTTCTTACGTCTCTCTCGCGTCCTTGAGTGGGTGGTGCTGTGGGTGGGAAAGTGAAACTGGGCCCAGAGCGGGCGGAGCAACTCCATCCGCGCTCCGTTCCGTGGCCGTGGCATGATTAATTGCTCATTGTTGCGGCGGCCACATCGCAAATTGCTTTCACGTCTCGTGAATCTCGTGTCGGGCGCACGTGAATGCCATGAATAAGAGCTGAATAGGGCCTGAAACGGAATGGAGTCGGCCCGAAAATCGGCTACACTGCCATAAAATCATTGGCCATGCTAGCCAAGTGCGTCAGTTGGATTCCGCCTCGATAATCACAAAGTAGAGGGCTCATCATGGTTTTTACATTCAAACATACCCATCGCAATGCTGAGGTGCACATTTTGTTGCCAGTGCTCCCAGCTCATCTCGTGTCAGCCTGGCCAACGTTTAAGGCGTTCCGCTTGGCCTCCTTCCCGATGCCCACTAATGTTACATTATTAATGCATCTGCATGAAGCTCCTCAAGCCCTCGTATGCAAATTAGGGACCACATTTCCCGCCAATGAAAGGGAAAGCCCCAAAATGGCAGCTAGAAAAAGAGCCAAATGGCAATTCTGTGTCTGTTCCTCCAGAAGTGATAAATGATTGAGCGTACTTGTACATCCGCGCTGGATTTGCCCCAAAAGTGTGTTGCTCCGCAAGGGGCAGTCATAATTGTGCAACTACCCCGTTTCTTTGGTGATTATATTTTCAATTTCACGGCGCACTCGCTTAATATTCGCGCTCCCCTTTGAACAGCTTAACGAGTGTAATCCGCACGTCATCGGTGCCTCAAAGTAAATGTGAATGTAAATGAATGTTTCAGGCCAAGAATCCTTTGTGATATAATGCCATTATGCCCCGAATGGGCTAATCACTCCCTACAATGATCAAAAACATGCGTTTTGTGTGAGTTCTGCTCCCAATTGCAGTTCGCTCCAAGTAGTCGGAGTCCAAACACTCGTCCTTATTGAGTTGCCTCTGCTGTGGGCACTTCAGTTGGTGTTTTTCCAAGCCAGCAGTAGCAATCTCGATAATAAGCATAAATAAAGAGGCCAGCAAAAAATTACACGGCCATAAAAAAGGGCAAATGGCGCACAGGCCACCACCACAACCACCACACCAGCTCCACCAGCAAGCCCAAGCTCCTCCATCATCATTCGTCCTTGCTGGCCATGTAGAAGGGGCCGAATTACCAGGATTGGGCCAGAACAGGCCAGAGCCAACAAACAAACAGGCAGGCAAGCAAGAAAGCAAGCAAGCAAACAAACAAACAAACAAACAAACAAACGAATGGACGCTGGGAATGAGAACACAAACAAGTTTTGTAGTGGGGCTGCAACCGCTGAACAAGCTCGTAAAAACTTATTTAATTTGTGATTTATATGAATAAAATTGTGTAGTAAATTCACTGAAATTATTCATTTCGCAGCGCTTACGGGCGGGTGGACAGTTCGAACAACGAAGAAGAGAGAAAGGAAAAGTGCACTGAAAGAAACAGACGAGCAAACAGGCGATTTCTCGATTTCACCCCTAAAAGACAACTTTGATTGGCGATTTAACTGCTGGCAAGACTGGCTCCCATTTTTTTGCTCGCACGAAAGGAGCTGGGCCATTATTTTTCCGAGTGCAAGTGGCAGACACAGAAGACGGGGTCGAAAGGATAAGCTCGGCAGAAGACCAAAACAAGAACGTTGCCAAAATCAACTGCCGAGGATACGGCGACAACGGCAGCAGCAAAGCAAACTTTTTGCTGGCCAACCGAGGAGTTTCGCATTTTTGATTTACTCCGAGCAGCAGAAACGCAACTTTTGCGCATATAAATTTGAGCAGCAGTAGTCGCCCCACTTGGCCATCTATTTGCCCCTGCCAAGCAGATATATTCCCAAATTATCTTGGCCCAATCTCCATTCAAACGTTTTGCGATTGCCAACTAGCCGCAGTTTAGTCTGTGGTTTCGACTCATGAGTTCGGCAGGCTGAGAAGTTTGAAAACAGGCATAGAAATCGCTGCTGACATTTATGCCGTCGATTTGGGCCGTAATATTTTCGTATTTTCGTAATTTATTAGCATTCATGAGTTTATATTTCATTCACTTGCAGAAAGTTGTGGCATAATTTAAAATACATAAGTTGCTGTGGGCGTTTTGGCCAATGATTGTTTGGATTGTAAATTGACCAGCTTTAAATGCCATGACATCGAGTCAAACGAGCTCAGGCTGTCAAATTTATGGCTGCTCCTTTAGGTGAAGGACACAAAGGAAAAGGACATGGTTGTGCACAGCCTTTCTTCAACAGGAACTCAACTATATGGACACCTTAAGCTGTTTAGCTGGAAACACGGATTTGGATGGATTGAATAGCCATTTACTTACCGCTCTAGCATCGCAACGCATTCCCAGGCTGATGACCAGGCAGAGTCCCAAAAAGGACACCAGGCAGCGAGGTCGCATCATTTTCCACACTTTAGTTCTCTCCTGCGATTGCTGTCGACAAGGATAACCAGCTTTTTTGTGTCTTGGTCTTTATTGGTTGTATGTTCTCGGGTTTTTTGGCGCTCACTATAAAAAAATGGAACAATCGCGTTGACAGTTGTTCATTAACGCATCGGCACGGCGTGGCGAAAGGATTTTCTTTTTTATGATAAGGTCCTTCCCCCCACCCCCCTTTCTCTCGCGCTCTCTCTCCCACTCGCCGTGCAGGACACTTTTAATATTTCTGCTGTGTCCACGCAACAATAACAAGGAATAAAACATTTTGCCGGCGCCGCGGCGACTTGTTTACTTTCACTACCGCAAGGACTCACTCACACCACCACACACCACACACCCAAGCTCACAGGATATGAAGTGCAGAGGCAGGCGGGAGCGAGAGGAGAGCGAGAGCGAGAGAGAGAAAGAGGCGGGCCTAAAACGAATCCTTCCAGGAGCCCCAAAAGCACAACGAACCGAACGCGCGCGCGGCACGAATTGTTCTGGCGCCTCGACGGCGAAACAGGTCCTTTTTAATGTCCTGCCACGGCGAAGGCAAGAGCGAAAGCTCCGCGGCGAATTCGGCTCCCTGCCGAGCGAATACGAGCCGGGGCGAAGCGAATGAAGTTTATAAAATGTACGTGACTGTGGCTCGCTTGGAGCATGAAGTGTGTGCTAAGCTGTGCTTCTAGTACAAGCAACCCCTCCCCACACCACCCCCCCTTCCCGACCCGGCCCACGCCAATGCTCCTTCTTAGTCCTTCCCCAACTCGCCCCCTTCCCATTACCATGCCCCTTTTCGCCTGTGCATTTGGCACAAAATGCTCAAGGACACTTGCCCAAAACTAGAAACAGACCCAAACCAACGGGTACACATGGAAAAATTACGTAAATTTCTGAAAAGGTGAGCATATGCAAAAATGTCTTTAAAATAGTTTGATTTTGGCCATGCCCAGCTTTTTTTTACAAGCGGTTAAATCATGAAAATTGCGAAAAACGACTATTGGCAAATATTCGATATTTTCGATGGGAATTTTCATCATAACTTCGTTAAAAATGATCATAAAGATAAAATAATAACAGTTTTGAGCAGCTCATTACCAATGCTAACTATCCCTATCACTTTTTGATCGATTTAGGAAAATACAATTTTGGGTCAATTTTTGCATTTTTTGTAAGGGGTAACATCATCAAAATTTGCAAAAAATGGAAAAAAAATTGAGTTCCCATTTTTGAACACAGTTCGATTGGAAATTTAATTACGAGCTCAACGAGGTATGGCATTCCATATTCAGACAATTATTTTTCAAGTTATGGCCAAAAAACTGATTATTTTATGACGGAAATTCCAAAAAACCACTTTCGGCAAATTCGATATTTTCCATGGGAATTTTCATCATAACTTCGTTAAAAATGATCATAAAGATAAAATAATAACAGTTTTGAGCAGCTCATTACCAATGCTAACTATCCCTATCACTTTTTGATCGATTTAGGAAAATACAATTTTGGGTCAATTTTTGCATTTTTTGTAAGGGGTAACATCATCAAAATTTGCAAAAAATGGAAAAAAATTTGAGTTCTCATTTTTTAACACAGTTCGATTGGAAATTTAATTACGAGCTCAACGAGGTATGGCATTCCATATTCAGACAATTATTTTTCAAGTTATGGCCAAAAAACTGATTATTTTATGACGGAAATTCCAAAAAACCACTTTTGGCAAATTCGATATTTTCCATGGGAATTTTCATCATAACTTCGTTAAAAATGATCATAAAGATAAAAGAATAACAGTTTTGAGCAGCTCATTACCAATGCTAACTATCCCTATCACTTTTTGATCGATTTAGGAAAATACAATTTTGGGTCAATTTTTGCATTTTTTGTAAGGGGTAACATCATCAAAATTTGCAAAAAATGGGAAAAAAATTGAATTCCCATTTTTGAACACAGTTCGATTGGAAATTTAATTACGAGCTCAACGAGGTATGGCATTCCATATTCAGACAATTATTTTTCAAGTTATGGCCAAAAAACTGATTATTTTATGACGGAAATTCCAAAAAACCACTTTTGGCAAATTCGATATTTTCCATGGGAATTTTCATCATAACTTCGTTAAAAATGATCATAAAGATAAAATAATAACAGTTTTGAGCAGCTCATTACCAATGCTAACTATCCCTATCACTTTTTGATCGATTTAGGAAAATACAATTTTGGGTCAATTTTTGCATTTTTTGTAAGGGGTAACATCATCAAAATTTGCAAAAAATGGGAAAAAAATTGAATTCCCATTTTTGAACACAGTTCGATTGGAAATTTAATTACGAGCTCAACGAGGTATGGCATTCCATATTCAGACAATTATTTTTCAAGTTATGGCCAAAAAACTGATTATTTTATGACGGAAATTCCAAAAAACCACTTTCGGCAAATTCGATATTTTCCATGGGAATTTTCATCATAACTTCGTTAAAAATGATCATAAAGATAAAATAATAACAGTTTTGAGCAGCTCATTACCAATGCTAACTATCCCTATCACTTTTTGATCGATTTAGGAAAATACAATTTTGGGTCAATTTTTGCATTTTTTGTAAGGGGTAACATCATCAAAATTTGCAAAAAATGGAAAAAAATTTGAATTCTCATTTTTTAACACAGTTCGATTGGAAATTTAATTACGAGCTCAACGAGGTATGGCATTCCATATTCAGACAATTATTTTTCAAGTTATGGCCAAAAAACTGATTATTTTATGACGGAAATTCCAAAAAACCACTTTTGGCAAATTCGATATTTTCCATGGGAATTTTCATCATAACTTCGTTAAAAATGATCATAAAGATAAAAGAATAACAGTTTTGAGCAGCTCATTACCAATGCTAACTATCCCTATCACTTTTTGATCGATTTAGGAAAATACAATTTTGGGTCAATTTTTGCATTTTTTGTAAGGGGTAACATCATCAAAATTTGCAAAAAATGGGAAAAAAATTGAATTCCCATTTTTGAACACAGTTCGATTGGAAATTTAATTACGAGCTCAACGAGGTATGGCATTCCATATTCAGACAATTATTTTTCAAGTTATGGCCAAAAAACTGATTATTTTATGACGGAAATTCCAAAAAACCACTTTTGGCAAATTCGATATTTTCCATGGGAATTTTCATCATAACTTCGTTAAAAATGATCATAAAGATAAAATAATAACAGTTTTGAGCAGCTCATTACCAATGCTAACTATCCCTATCACTTTTTGATCGATTTAGGAAAATACAATTTTGGGTCAATTTTTGCATTTTTTGTAAGGGGTAACATCATCAAAATTTGCAAAAAATGGGAAAAAAATTGAATTCCCATTTTTGAACACAGTTCGATTGGAAATTTAATTACGAGCTCAACGAGGTATGGCATTCCATATTCAGACAATTATTTTTCAAGTTATGGCCAAAAAACTGATTATTTTATGACGGAAATTCCAAAAAACCACTTTTCGGCAAATTCGATATTTTCCATGGGAATTTTCATCATAACTTCGTTAAAAATGATCATAAAGATAAAATAATAACAGTTTTGAGCAGCTCATTACCAATGCTAACTATCCCTATCACTTTTTGATCGATTTAGGAAAATACAATTTTGGGTCAATTTTTGCATTTTTTGTAAGGGGTAACATCATCAAAATTTGCAAAAAATGGAAAAAAAATTGAGTTCCCATTTTTGAACACAGTTCGATTGGAAATTTAATTACGAGCTCAACGAGGTATGGCATTCCATATTCAGACAATTATTTTTCAAGTTATGGCCAAAAAACTGATTATTTTATGACGGAAATTCCAAAAAACCACTTTCGGCAAATTCGATATTTTCCATGGGAATTTTCATCATAACTTCGTTAAAAATGATCATAAAGATAAAATAATAACAGTTTTGAGCAGCTCATTACCAATGCTAACTATCCCTATCACTTTTTGATCGATTTAGGAAAATACAATTTTGGGTCAATTTTTGCATTTTTTGTAAGGGGTAACATCATCAAAATTTGCAAAAAATGGAAAAAAAATTGAGTTCCCATTTTTGAACACAGTTCGATTGGAAATTTAATTACGAGCTCAACGAGGTATGGCATTCCATATTCAGACAATTATTTTTCAAGTTATGGCCAAAAAACTGATTATTTTATGACGGAAATTCCAAAAAACCACTTTCGGCAAATTCGATATTTTCCATGGGAATTTTCATCATAACTTCGTTAAAAATGATCATAAAGATAAAATAATAACAGTTTTGAGCAGCTCATTACCAATGCTAACTATCCCTATCACTTTTTGATCGATTTAGGAAAATACAATTTTGGGTCAATTTTTGCATTTTTTGTAAGGGGTAACATCATCAAAATTTGCAAAAAATGGAAAAAAATTTGAGTTCTCATTTTTTAACACAGTTCGATTGGAAATTTAATTACGAGCTCAACGAGGTATGGCATTCCATATTCAGACAATTATTTTTCAAGTTATGGCCAAAAAACTGATTATTTTATGACGGAAATTCCAAAAAACCACTTTTGGCAAATTCGATATTTTCCATGGGAATTTTCATCATAACTTCGTTAAAAATGATCATAATGATAAAAGAATAACAGTTTTGAGCAGCTCATTACCAATGCCAACTATCCCTATCACTTTTTGATCGATTTAGGAAAATACAATTTTGGGTCAATTTTTGCATTTTTTGTAAGGGGTAACATCATCAAAATTTGCAAAAAATGGAAAAAAAATTGAGTTCCCATTTTTGAACACAGTTCGATTGGAAATTTAATTACGAGCTCAACGAGGTATGGCATTCCATATTCAGACAATTATTTTTCAAGTTATGGCCAAAAAACTGATTATTTTATGACGGAAATTCCAAAAAACCACTTTCGGCAAATTCGATATTTTCCATGGGAATTTTCATCATAACTTCGTTAAAAATGATCATAAAGATAAAATAATAACAGTTTTGAGCAGCTCATTACCAATGCTAACTATCCCTATCACTTTTTGATCGATTTAGGAAAATACAATTTTGGGTCAATTTTTGCATTTTTTGTAAGGGGTAACATCATCAAAATTTGCAAAAAATGGAAAAAAATTTGAGTTCTCATTTTTGAACACAGTTCGATTGGAAATTTAATTACGAGCTCAACGAGGTATGGCATTCCATATTCAGACAATTATTTTTCAAGTTATGGCCAAAAAAACTGATTATTTTATGACGGAAATTCCAAAAAACCACTTTTGGCAAATTCGATATTTTCCATGGGAATTTTCATCATAACTTCGTTAAAAATGATCATAATGATAAAATAATAACAGTTTTGAGCAGCTCATTACCAATGCTAACTATCCCTATCACTTTTTGATCGATTTAGGAAAATACAATTTTGGGTCAATTTTTGCATTTTTTGTAAGGGGTAACATCATCAAAATTTGCAAAAAATGGAAAAAAAATTGAGTTCCCA